ACATTATTATATTTTTTTCTGATTTAAGTATCTCCTTCAGGGTAAGCTAGTTTGACTTCTTTTTCATAGAAGTGCAGTCTTCCTGACTCCCCCTTCTTTCCCCAATCCTCCCCAAGATGGTGTCCAGGCGGGTGGTAAAGTGCACAAGACTAAAAAGTGGCTAGGGAAAAAGAGGGTTGCAGATCTAGGAGGTGGCCAATTCTGATGGTTTCTGCATGGAGTGGCTGGTGTTGCTTGGTTTCTGGACCAGGAATTATAGGGGGTGATGGATTCCATCTCTTTATTTGGAGTTCATCATCTATATTGGTCAGGCTTCTCCAGAGAAACAGAACCAACAGTGTGTGGGTATATATATATATATATATACACATATACATACACACATACAGAGACAGAGAGAGAGATTGAGGTTGAGATTTATTATAAGTACTTGGCTGATGTGATTATGGAGGCTGAGAAGTTCTAAGATCTGCAGTCTGCAAGCTGGAGACTCAAGAGAGGTGATGTGTAGTTCTAGTATAAGCCCAAAAGCCTGAGAGCCAGGAAAGCTGATGGTATAAGTCTCAGTCCAACAGTTAGCAGGCTTGAGACACAAGAAGATCCAATGATTCAGTCCGAGTCTGAAGGTCTGAAAAGACCAGAGTCTCAGCTCAACAGTCAGGCAGGAGGAGTTCCCTCTTATTCAGACTTTCTGCTTTTTGTTCTAGTCAGGTCTTCAATTGATTAGTTGAGGCCCATTCACACTAGGGATGGCAATCTGCTTTACTCAGTCTATTGATTCAAATATTAATCTCATCCAGAAACACCCTCCCAGACATGCCCAGGATAATGGTTGGCCAAATATATCTGGGCACCCTGTGTCCCAGACAAGTTGACACATAAAATTAACAATCAAATGGTCCTAGGCATTTTCCTTTCATTCTGAAATCTGAACAAAGAATTATCATACAGAATTATTAAGAGCTCCTTTGAATTAATAAGAAAAAGAAAACAATGCAATATGAATAAAGACAAAAATATGAACAGGAAATCTCAGAAAAGGAAACCTAAATGCCTGATAAGTATATGTCCAACCTCACTAGTAATTAGAAAACAACAAATTAAAATCATGAGGTGATGTCATTTCACACCCAACAAATTGGCAAAAAGATGACAAAGATGTGGAGCTGTGGAATTCATATTGCAAGTGGGAGTGAAAAATTAGCAAAACTCACTTGAAGGGCCATAAGCAGTACCTATTAAAAGTAACAAATGGTATATTAGTCCATTTCTGTTGCTTATAACAAAATACCTGGAACTGGATAATTTGTAAGGAAATGAAATTTATTGCTTATGGTTTCATAGGCTGAGGGTCTTGGTGGTGGTAACAGTAAACCCAGGGGTTTCACATGGCAGAAAATGATAGAGCAGAGAAAGACTAACCTTTTCATTCACTCTCCTTTTAAAGCCCTCCAAACCACACCCATGACCACCATTTTTAATGCATTCACTACAGTACAGTCCTGCAATCTAACCATCTCTCCAAGGCCCCACCTTTCAATTACCATAATAGGATTTCCCACCCTCTTAACATTGTCGCAATGAAGGTCAAGTTTTGGGGGGACACTCAATCCAAGGCAAATGGCATCCTCAATATCCCAACAAATTGCTACTGGATTTGCATCCTAGAAAAAAAATCAATCACATGGGTACAAGAAGCCATGTTCAAGAATATTTATAGAAAAATTGTTTATAATAACAAAAAAATTGGAAAAAAGCTAAATTTCCATCAAGAAAAATGAGTATACAGA